CTACTTTAGATGTAGTATCTAAAGACCAATTTCTTTTCAAAATGAGATCAGTTTTTCCTATTATTTCTCTTTGTTTTCTATTATTTTATTCTCAAAATCAATAAATATCAAATCTCCTTCTCTATTACTCATGACTCCAGATTCCCTCCTCCCCTCATTTATGTATTTGGTATTTTTTTAAGTCAGGGTCTCCCTGTAACCCCAGCCGGCCTGGAACTCCCTATGTAGACCAGACTAGCCTCAGTCTCACAGGGATCTCCCTCATTAAAGGAGTGCACCATGTGTATGGCCTATATGTTCTACATCTCTTAATATTCTCTCTGCTTGGAAATTTCTTTAGCTTTTCCTTCCATATCATAATTTTGGTCTTCAGTATGAATATTCTGCCATATTCAGTATTTTAATCCTTTAAAAGGGTATTTTTTAATTCTTTACAAGTACTTTTATTCTAATTGTTCTTTTTCATAGCAAACTATATCTTGGATGGTACAATACTCAATGAAATGCTTCTCTAAGGGTATTGGTAGAGATATTTTTTAAAAAACATTTTCTTTATATTTGTTTCATTCAAGGTAGGTTTTTATTTCATTTCAGTTCCTTTTTTTTTTAATTTTTCCCCCAAACATATGTTAATCTTGTACTATCTGATTTTAGGTGCAATAGAGTGTTAGATTACTTAGAATAGAAAGTTGGCAGGAATACTGTTTTGATGGTAGAGAGTGGATTTTGTACTTAACATGAGGAAGTAGATGACATGCGTCCACAGCAGACTTTTTCTGGCATGTGTAGCAACAAAAGAAAAAGAACCAAGTGAAGAGGTTAGAATAGTGTGATGTGCTGAGCACAGAAGCCCGAGTCTCAGGATGAAGCCCTTGCAGCAGGTCTCTGCCCCATGGTACTAACCTGTCTTCTGAATGCCATTACTTTCTCTGCCATGCAATGTGCTTGATCTTGATTCTAGATTACATCATCCTATTTTTCTCTTCTTTTTTTCCCCAAACTTTCCTTGGAGTGTTTCCCCGTCTATGTGGGTGTATACTAATGTGGCCATCCCAATTTTTAAATTTGGAAAGTGCTTCCTTGTTGCTTGGAGAAAACTGCTTCCTGAGACTCCCAAGTCCCATGACTGCTCCATCCACTCCCCTCCACCTTGACATCCCTTTCACACCTCCTCAGGTTCAGCAATCAAGGGCTTAGGCAAGCTCAGCAGGATACCACCAGCACTCTGCTACCAAGCAGAGGCAGGAGGATCACTACATATTCAAGACCAGCCAAGACCAGCCGGGTCTACATAGAAAGTTCTAGGTCATCTAGAGCTATATAGTGAGACCCTGTCTCGAAACACAAAATAAATAAATGAGCACATGAATGAGATGGAAACTATACAGAAAGTAGGTCATAATTCAAAATGATTTTTATTTATACTGAGTTTTCAAATGTTTTCATGTCTATTGACATAAATAATATAATGTTGAATTATTATGGTGACCGTTTATGTTAATCAACTTTTTATATAGTGTCTCTTAAAGTAAAAGGTACTGAGGAAATTTCAGTTATCTAGTATGTTTCATAAATCTGTGTTCTGTGAAAAAAAACAAGGGTTTCAATAAAACAGAGATAATCAAACCTTTAATACTGATTTCTATTTGATACTTACTAAGAACTCATCTTAGTATTTGGCAAATTTCATAATGTAATATGCCTAAAATGATTCTTGAAGTGAATGTCAAGAATTAAATAGAAAGTCAAAACAAGTTCAGAATAGACATGTTGCCTTTTAAATTTTTAGCTTTCTCTTTTTTTTATAGAACCTAAAATAACTCGTCCTCCCATAAATGTAAAAATAATAGAAGGGTTAAAAGCAGTTCTACCGTGTACTACAATGGGGAACCCCAAGCCATCTGTATCCTGGATCAAGGGAGACAGTGCTCTCAAGGTAAGTGATTGTTACAGCAAAACATGTGTACAAAACATATAAAAGGTGGTAAACCATAAACAGTCACTTACATGCTAATAAACTTATAATGTATATTTGTCTCCTTATGCATTGTGATAGCTTTAATTGTCAACTTGATACAACCTAGAATCACCTGGGAAGAGTCTGAATGAGGGCTTGTTGACATTAGGTTGTTCTGGAGACTATCTGTGGAGAATTGTCTTGACTAAGTTAATTGATGTGAGATGACCTAGTCCATTGTGGGCAGCAGCATTCTCTAGGAAGGGAGTCCTAAACTGTGTATAAGTAGAGAAATCAGGCTGAGCACAGACAAGCTAGCAAACATCTATGCATTCATTTCTACCTGTTCTTGACTATGGATGGGATGTGAGTAGCTCTTTGAAGTCCTGCCTTGACTTCTCAACTATGAGGAATTATAACCTAGAATTGTAAGCTGAAATAAACCCCTTTATTCCCTGTTACTTTTTGTCAGGGTATTTTTTTAAAAAAAACATAGTATCATAAATGAAACTAAAGCATACATTAACCAAGCTTAAACATTTCTACTCCCGTTTATGAAAACGCTAGGGTGTTCCAGTTGGGACTAGGTATGGGAAAGAAAAGACAGAAGCAGTAATGTTAGGGATGGAAAGACGCAAAGTCAAAGCAAAGCCAAAGCAAAACCAAGCTTCTTTGTTTTGACTGGTTGAATCATTTATTCTTTTAAACATGGAATCTTTGAGTCTTCGAAAATAAAATAAAATAAAACCAAAGCTTTAGACACAGTTTCTGTGAGACTGGAGAGAACCAAGGCTCAGAAGAAATGAAATGAGAACAGCAGAGAGAGAAAAAAACTTGTCAAAAGGGTAACAGGTGATTATGGGGTTATTTAGAGTGAGGCGACGACAGTGATAACTTCAGCAAATATCTCCTCAGTCGTGAAGAGCAGTGAGATTAAAAACGCATTATTTGGGCTGGAGAGATGGGTGAGTGGGCTATACATGTTCTGCAAGCACAAAGACCTGAGTTCAGATGCCAGCAGTCACATAAATGAATTCCTGTAACCCCAGCACTGTGGCCATGGAGATGGGAGACTGGGGATTGCTGGCTGCCAGCCTAATGCCAAACCTGGTGAGGGACCTGTCTCAGAGGAACAGAGAGTGAGAAAGCAGGGAACCCAGGGTCCTCCTCTTGCCACATGCACACATTCACACACACACACGTGTATGCATATGGCCCACACATCTGTGTGCTCGCACACACACACACACACACACACACACACAGACGTACATACACTATACACACGTATCTACACACATGCACACAAAAGTATTACTCATTGGGTTAATTTTGTACTGCTTTTGTGTGTTATTCCCATGCTTACTAATAAGTTATTATTTTGCATCATGATCATCTCTACAGCTTGGTTTTACCTAAAAGGGGCTCACAAACTCTGTTCCCATCTTACCAGGCCCAGAACATTCCATGAGAGACACACAGTTGTCAGGATATGTCAAATAACTGAAATAAACTACAAATTTGATCATCTTTGCCAGTTTTAATGGTAGTATATATAATCTCCTGACTTTCCTTTTGTTATGTGTTGAAGCATTTTCTACAATGAAAATCAAAGGTAGTTTTATGTGCATTACTGAAGTTACATCAAGTCCAAAAAAAAAAAAAAGAAGATAAATTTCATCTTTGAACTCTGAGGAGTAATTTTAAATATTCTTGGAGGATATGCTTTCTTCCAAGGATGCGCCAATGAGTGTGTACTAAAACATGGTAGTTAAAAGCAATGCTTTTATCGCTTTTAATTTTTTTGTCTTGTTTTTGTTCTCATTCTGGGGATCAAATTCATGTGTATGTGTAAGCACATGTTCTGCCTCTAAGCTATGCCTTCAGCCCCAAAGTGCAATATTTTTAATCAGACATGAGCATGACTTTAGGAAATCAAATTAACTGTTATGTTCTCATGAAATGAAAGAAAAATAAAAATGGGTGTTATCACATGGGATCACTATGATGCTTAATTTCTACAATCGTGCGTGGTCTCAGTATGCTTTGATACGTGGGCAAAGTAGAGGTTAATATTTTTGGTGATAATGATGACTTGACGGAATATAGCATATATACCTTTGATTGTGGCTGTTTTCTAATTTGTGTCACTTTCTTTGGCAGGAAAATTCTCGCATTGCAGTTCTTGAATCTGGGAGTTTAAGGATCCATAATGTGCAAAAGGAAGACGCAGGACAGTATCGGTGTGTGGCAAAAAACAGCCTGGGCACCGCGTATTCCAAGCTGGTAAAGCTGGAAGTTGAGGGTAAGAAACGGCACGCCTTCTATCATCATTTACTAAGAAGACTGTCCTGATTAAGAAAGATGACATGTAGATACTGTGGTTCCTCGGCTTTTTCAGATGTTAGACCACTGGTCTAGACTGTGAGAACAGAAAAGCTGAAAGCCATTTTCACTAGCCTAAAAGAAAAAAACCATATTCCATCTATTGCCCTAAATTTCGTAGTTTGACCATTACAGCATACTAAATTCATTATAATACTAAATGTGACACCATTTTAGTGAATCTTCCTGGCTTGGGCAATTTTCATTTGTTTGTAAGTTTGAAAACAATAATTTCATCATTTTCTGCATGCAGATTGATTTCTAAAAAGATATGAAGATGGAAACTTAATTTTTCAAAACTGTATTTCACAGAGATGAGAGAAATAAGATAATGACTCACACATACAACAAAAATGGTCTTAGTTCTAGGAATCATTTAACAATAATGTTGTCGACATAGCAACAGTTTACCAAAGTGTTTTAATTAATTAATTTAACAAGTTGATGTGAAAGATCTTCATTGAGGAATCAGAATCCAAACAGGTTTTAGTGTCCTATTCCCCAGTTCATTTGGGTATTTACCTAAAATTTCAGCACATTTGGGTCAAAAATAAGAACTATTAGCATAGTTGTATGAGGTGAACAGACCAAAACTAAATGCTTTCCTAAATTCTCTTGTTCTGAGCCATAAATTCAACTCCTCTGACCTTCCATTTATTACCTGTAAAGTGGGGTTTTCTGCCATTGATGAAGTAAGCTATTGACCACATGCAGCACAGTGCGGTATGGAACACACTGAGTATATGCTGGCTACGGGAATTACCATAGATTTTTCTGCTTTTGTCTTTTCCAACTGATAAAATGTTGGATTCACATACACAGAAGCAGTAGTTTCATCAGAAAAGACTTTGATGGATCCTCAGTTCTCTAAACCATTTGATTCTGCCTTGACTAAAATCTGGCCTTTCTTGCATTTTCTTTTGTAACTCAGGAACTTTTCTACTTGTTCTTTTAAAATTATTTTTATTTCCAGAGTGGACTTTGCTCTCACAGTTTTAATAACCCTTATTTCTGTATTTATCTCTAATTAAGCCAACATTTTTATGGTATAGTTGCATAAATTGCTTATAAAATTTCCATTAAGAAATAGCAAAGGATGAAGTTAGTGCATCTACTATCAGAACGTATAAAAAGACATATGTTAACGTAGTTCTCAATACAGTTGATTATACTTTAAGTATTCTAAATTATAAATTTCACTTAATGATTAGAAAATACTTGTCACACTTTTTTCAGTGAAAATTAAGTAAACATACAAACACATTCAGAAACCTATTCAGACACGTTGGGTATTCAGACACATTAGATTCAGGATTGATTTGAACCCTCTCTACAATGATGTAGAATTCATGTTATCCTTTTGTATAAGATTCTACAGAGTTTCCCTATCAAACTATTAAACCCAAATCCTCTTTTTGATTATATACAATACTGATCATTAAAACCGCTGTCTTCACAAGTATTAAAACAAATTGCTTCAACTTCGGCTTAGAGAAAATTATCACTAATCTTGATTAGTTGAAGCCCAGTTACACAGTGAGCTCTTGCTTTGCCACTGAATTTTGAATTAATAAAATGGAATACTGCCTCTTTCTTCCTAACATTTGAATGATAATGCTTGCTGCTTTGACTGGTAATATATGGTAGAGATTTGATTCAGCCTTACTACTACGGAGAGCTCCTGCTGCTAGTCACAGCTCGCCTAACAGCAGGGAAGAAGACACATTTTAGCTCACATGTCTATGTCTGCCTCCTCCCAACCTGATTACAATAACCAAAGTATTTGACATGTTGTTGCTAGCAAATAATAAGCATATAACAAATGATATCTCTCAGAATTGTTATTACAATTGTTCATTGATAGCTAACAGAATTGTTATACATTCAAATATAAAATCCACAACTGATCTATTTTTGGCTCCGAAGTTCTTAAAAACTGACTTCTGCTTGAACAAAGAGCTGAGCCATGCACACAAGATGCAATACAGAAAGGACCTGTTTAAAGGAAGAGCTAGTTCAGCCTACAACTCAGAACATGTGAAAAGCAACAGAGAGAAGGTAGGGAGACCCCTCCGAATACCTGCAAATGCCTGCTGGTCCAGCAGAGTGAGGGCTGACGGTAAAGCTGGCTGTGTTCAGTTAGGACAGATGACTATATGCACCCATCATGTAGAAGTGTATGTCAGCCATTGGATGGCTGTTTTGAAGCAGAGCTCCACATCTATACTTACTACAGATGGGTATGCCACTGATAGCCTGTACCAAGGAAAAATATGCCAGGCATGTCACCACACTGGGTACAGTGCATTAAGTACATCTTAACTTTTTCATAACAAACATGAAAGAAATACCCTGTCACATTGGAAGCAAAGCTCTATTTCTAAATTACCATCTTCAGGCTTCCACATATCTGAAATGACAAGACAAAGATATTCTGCATTTCTGTCTTATGTCCAAAGATTCCAGTCATGACATAAAGAATTCCTGTTGAAATATCTAACTCAAGATGTGCCAGCATGTATGTCTCTCTAAAGTGACAGGTGATGAGATTCCTAGAATATTAAATGGGCAGTTAATGCAAATTCCTATTTTTATTGATTTTTTTTTTGCATTTCATGCAATACATATCATGCAATCATATTTAAAACCCCTCCCCTATCTGCACTCCCCAAATCCCCCCTACCATATTTCACGCATTCTGTCATATATGCTAAGGTCTATCGAGTCAAGTTTGTGTCCCCAGATGTCCCTGGTGTGAGTTCATTTGCTGGAGCCTGGTCAGGCTATCTAGCATCACTCCCTTAAAGAAGACCAACTCTCCCTCACTCAGAAGTGATCGGCTGCCAATAATTCCTCTGCTAAGGTTGAAGTTTCTTACCTATTTCCCCAGTTATATGCTGGGATTTTGTCTGGTTTAAGTTTGCATGGGTCTTAAGCAAGCTGTCACCATTGCTGTAAATTCATATGAGCAAGTTCCCAGAAACCTGGAAAACTCTGTTTCCTTATGGTCCTCTACCGCCCCTGGCTCTTATAATCTTTCTGCCCCTTCTTCTGTGTAGTCCCCAAGCCTTGGGTGGGTGAGTTTCAATATAGGAGTCCTGTCCAGGAACATGCACTCTGCAGTCTCTTATTCTCTACACTTTGACCAGTTGTGGTTTCTGTTAATCGCCCTCTGTTGCCTGAGGAAGCTTCACTGGTGAGAGTTGAGAAAAGCATTAATAGTCTCTCTGCTCCTTGTCCACTATGTTCCCTGAGCCTTAGGTATAGAGGTTGCATTGTAGATGTGTCACTTAGGGCTGGGCATCTCACAGACACTTATTCTCTATGTTTGACCAGTTGTGGAATTCTGTAATACCATTTGTTCAAAAACAAGCTTCTTTGATGAGTGGTGTAAGCTATACTTGTCAGAGTAGTCCAGAGGTCTCAGGTAGACTGATACCAAATTCTTTAAGTAGAATACTTTATGTAGCTGTCACTAAGAGTACCTGTCAATGTAGGAAGGTCCTATGTTGCACCATTTTAGGAAGCTAAGGAATAACAAGGATGGCTCACTTACATGGGGCCACACAGATGGAAGAGTCTAAGAAACAGTGTCACAATGAATGTTTTCAACAGCTCTGTGTGACATTGTCTAGAGCAGTATCGGGAGGGAAGTGAGAGAAGAATCCAGAATCTGTAAATGAAGAGAGAAAAGTGGGGAGAGAGCGAGCAAGTGAGAGAGAGCAAGTGCTTCAGTAAATTTGGCAAAGAAAGGAAGGGAATTGAAGGAGCAGTTCAAAAATACTGAAGCTGTTAGAACATTGTGAGAAGGGAAATTTGAACATAGCGGAGAGAGCAACGTGGTGCTTTTGTGCATATGGGGTGCATTCATGACCTGGTAGAATGACAAACTTCACGCAGAGGGGCCCACATGTGATGCTTTTCCCAGGATGGCTTTGGTTCTCACCTGTCGTCCTGGAACAATTATTAATAGAATCCCTCTTTTACTTTCTAAAGTACCCAGGCTTCCATCATAAATTATGTGATTGCTCTCCTTGGGGATAATTTTCTTCCTTGTAATAGGAAAGAAGGAAAGAAAGTATCCATTTTCCAACATGAATCAGTTCATAAGTCAGGTAAGTGGAATTTAAGAAAGCTTTGTTCTCCTGGTCTCTGTTTCCTCCTTGAAATAGATAGTGGCTATCTGAAAATACTTTTGTAAGGAGGCCATGGGATAAGACAGAGATAAGGAGAATGGGAAGATTTTGAAATAGCTGTGGGATAGAAGCAATGACTCAGGAGAATTAGAATTGTGGAGCGTGTCAGGGTTTTGGTGAGAATGGGATCATGAACCTGGAAGAAGGGGCTGTGCTCTATGTGGCTGAGCCACACCCCTTGAATATTGATCTATACTATAAATATGAGTTTGGACAAAGTAGAAGGTTCCATTTAGAGGCAAGACATAAATGTTGGAATTTTACCAAAAAGAGAAATAGGGCAAAGGGGAATATTGCTCAGTAGAGTAAGGTACTGCATCGTGGCATCTTCATGCACCAAATTCACTTAGCTTAATATCTAAACATCAAGTCTAGGAGGATTTAAACCCAGATTAAACACTATCACTCTAGCAATATAACAGACATAATAAATTGAAAGCCTTCTTAGTACAAACACTTAGAAATTCTGGGTTAGCTACATAACTCATTAGGAATAAAATGTAAATATCCAGAAGCCAGGGATGAGTAGACATTGAACAAACATCAGCAAGCTCCTGAGCGGGTTCCCCTGTCAAGAAGGCAAGAGTGAGGCACCCTCATCTGTCTCCTAGTAGACTGCCTTAAAATCCTTAGAGAAGAGGAGGTAAAATGTTCAATTTGTGCAGAACAGAGGTTAGTTAGCACAGAGACCCTTGCATCAAACTGAGAAGCACAAAAATGAGAA